TATACTGGTAGCTATCAGAAGGAAAACCTGTGGGTCAAGCTACAGTTTATCATAACATTTACAGTAACTTACGTCAGCAGTTTTCTTACTGAAGATCCCAGTAAAGTTCTTTTTGATTGTCATTAATCCGTAATACCTTATATTATATTAAAGGGATTTGTGTTTGAAATTTCTATTGGCGTCATACTTGATTGAATTTGTCTGAAAACGTCATACTTGATAGAATTTTTCTGAAAACTTCAAACTTTATAGAATTTATCTGAAAACGCCTTTCTTGATAGCTTGAAAGAATTTATCTGAAAACGTCATACGTGATAGAGTTCTCTGTTAACATGTTATTTGATGGAAATCATGTGGAAAAACATAACATATCGATACTTGTGTTAACCAATACAGTACAATAAAGTAGTAAACTGCCATTTTGAATATGGCCGATTGTTTTAAATACCGTAACGGACATTTCTCTATGTTGTACAACAGGCAACACGCGTTTCACATGTATGAATTGTAAGAAAACAACAAGAGAATATCGAAGTCAGAACTAAACCGTAGTTCGACGTTTAAATCGATAAATCTAGACCAGAATGTGAACGACAGGAAATGTTACAATAATACCATTGCAAAAGTAGAGAGAGGTAATAAGACCACGTGTTCCGGAAGGGTAGTCGACTACTGCTGAATCGTCAACACAGGTCATGAAAATCTAGGTCGAATCTACGTAATATCACGTGCTTACACCTAGAACCAGGGTAGTGACGTCGAAAACACAAGACACACCAACGACCAATTAAAATATCGACAATCATATCGGTAGAGGCAATAAAAAGATATAGAGAGGCATGTGAACCCGATGTATTGACAAACCCCCAGTTAGAAGATCAAATAAAGATTTACAAAGTACTCGTTTTATCTACTTGAAACAAACTGTCTCATAGCACGTACACTTTTCAGTGATGGTAATAGGAGCGTTTTGTCAGACACTGGTAAAGGTGAACTGTCTCATAGCACGTACACTTTTCAGTGATGGTAATAGGAGCGTTTTGTCAGACACCGTTAAAGGTGAACTGTCTCATAGCACGTACACTTTTCAGTGGTGGTGGTGGTAGAAGTGCTCATGCAGCAGCTATCTAGTAGGAGGGGGGGGGGGNAATATTTGGTAATTGTTTCCCCATCCATTTGTGGTTGAAATACATACTTTGCTGTTGTTTTTGTTAATTTGAAGCAACATCTAGAGGAAATTGGTAATTTATCAAGTGATACACGGAATTATGTAAATGTTTCCGTATAACGCGTTAACCGGTGATACTTCGGTCCAATGAAGGGATCGATAGAGGCGGTCAAGATTGTGTCACCCTAACCTCGTGTAGGAGTGTGCAATACACGTGTCGCGGTGTTCGTGGTTACCCACGTAATGACGCTTACTCATTAATTGATGTGACACGTGCGGCCTTATTGTTTTCTTTATTTAGACAGACAAACTAAAACGAGTTACTTGTAATTTTGTCTCCGCACCCCTCTGTCGTTATCACTTTGAGGTTTGTGTCCATGCATTGCTAACATACCATGAATCCCTAGAGAAATCAATATACAATTATTCTCAACAAACTTCATTGCCACATACACGTAATGTCAGCGCATTTACACAACAATGAATGGGGAACGCGACCAATTAAATCTCAAAAAACAGGACCAGAGTATCATTCATTTCTACTGAAGGTAAACAGAAATTTTGATTAATTCTTAGTGTACACGCAATCCGATAAGAGATGTTACTGTGCAGCACACTATATCAATCGGACGGCGTTCCCCTGTCTGGTCTGGTTAGCGGGATCCGAATGATCTATATCATATAAAGCAACAGAGGCTGATGAAGTCTTCCAACAATTCCGTAACCCCATGACGGAGAGGGGGTTAACAGAACACAGGACCACGGACAGGCGAGGACTGACCACAGGACCACGGACAGGCGAGGACTGACCACAGGACCACGGGCAGGCGAGGACTGACCATAGGACCACGGGCAGGCGAGGACTGACCAAAGGACCACGTACAGGCGAGGACTGACTACAGGACCACGGGCAGGCGAGGACTGGCCACAGGATAACGGACAGGCGAGGACTGACTACATGACCAGGGACAGGCGATGACTGACCACAGGACCACGGACAGGCGAGGACTTACCACAGAACCACGGGCAGGCGAGGACTGACCACAGCACCACGGACAGGAGAGGACGTACCACATGACCACGGACAGGCGAGGACTGACCACAGCACCACGGACAGGCGAGGACTGACCACAGCACCACGGACAGGCGAGAAAAGACCACAGCACCACGAACAGTCCGATCTGGGAATCGAGCCCCGGTCGCCTTGCTGAAACGCAAGTGCGCTATCCACTACGCCACACGACCAGCCATTCATACTTATAATAAAGAGATTGTAGACTGACCATATTTAATCTTGACCAGGTGATGGTAGACTGGCCATATTTAATCTTGACCAGGTGATGGTAGACTGACCTATTTTGAAAATAATTACCGTCCTATTAAATATTGTAGGTTGTATACAAATGTCTAACGGGAAAATTTCTTTGCTTACATGTAATTTATGTCTGTATAGGACCAATACGAACGGAATGGCCATACTGCTGACACATGTTATTTCAGTTTGTCAGACAAACCACCAAACTACATTATGTAAGATTTTTTTCCTATCTCTGAAATAAATTGTTAAAATATTGAATTACAAGGCCACCTATATGTTTTCTATTTGGATGTCTCTCAGATTCCCTTGCTTTACTCGTGCTAAGACACGTGCATTTTTATCTTATGAGAAACTTTTTCTTTAACTTATCATTTTAATACAAAGTTTAAATGTGACAATTGTCGTACCTCCCATGGCTGAAATAGCTAGGCCATGCATGGTAAAATGAGAAACCATACTTCAGTGTCTTAAACGTGATAACTGACAAGTGTCGATGGCGGCAGAGCTTTATCTCATTATTATTATCAAAACATAGTAAACACATATTTCCGCCAATCATATTTCAAATATTACCTCCTCGTCTGGTCTCATATGATGGCTGACAGATACCATGCACTGCTAGATGAGACACCATGATTCGGTGTCCTAAAGTCATTAACTGAAAACGTCTATGAATGCACGTCTTTATCTCATTTTTGTTAAAAAATATATATATTAGATATAAATATATTGACATAGCCAGCTGTGATTAAGCAGGGTAATAGGAATGACCATACTGTGTAAAACAAAAGATTGGTGCCGAAATATTGCATATTAATATGCGTTCTCAGGCAGGAGTGACTTTCTCGAGTCAAGAAGAAATCAATTTTCATTTATTGTCGCATTCCGCATGAGCTTTGGATCGTCAACGACTAACACTACACAGAAAGCTATCCATCTCTCCACTAACAGTACACAGAAAGCTATCCATCTCTCCACTAACACTACAAAGCGTGGTACCCACATCACTCAACTAACATTACACAGACAGCTATCCATCTCTCTACTAACACTACACAGAAAGCTATCCATCTCTCCACTAACACTATACAGAAAGCTATCCATCTCTCCACTAACACTACACAGAAAGCTATCCATCTCTCCACTAACAATACACAGAAAGCTATCCATCTCTCCACTAACAAAACACAGAAAGTTATCCATCTCTCCACTAACACTACAAAGCGTGGTACCCACATCTCTCCACTAACACTACAATGCGTGGTACCCACATCTCTCCACTAACACTACAAAGCGTGGTACCCACATCACTCCACTAACACTACAAAGCGTGGTACCCACATCTCTCCACTAACACTACAAAGCGTGGTACCCACATCTCTCCACTAACACTACAAAGCGTGGTACCCACATCTCTCCACTAACACTACAAAGCGTGGTACCCACATCTCTCCACTAACACTACAAAGCGTGGTACCCACATCTCTCCACTAACACTACAAAGCGTGGTACCCACATCTCTCCACTAACACTACAAAGCGTGGTACCCACATCACTCCACTAACACTACAAAGCGTGGTACCCACATCTCTCCACTAACACTACAAAGCGTGGTACCCACATCACTAAGTAGGATGTGTTTCTGCAATAATATAGATATACATCAATGTTAAGAACTAAAAATATAAATATTCTTGAAATTATGTCTATATTCGGGGTTTTACTACACTAACATTCAGATAACCTTGCAGCTTTTTCGGTCTCTTGTTGCAGATTTTCTTTCCTTCCTAAATGTTCCCATACGGTAATTAAGACCGTTGATCCGGGATCATTTCTGTCACGTTTTTTGCGTTGGTCTCACACAGTGTTTCTAAACTGAAGTTTACCGCAGTCTCAATACGGCCAAGAGAGTCCGGATTTGGCACTTGGCGTCCCAGAGGGATATCTCTCTATATCAAAGTGTCTCTTGTAAGGTTTTCTGGAATGTATTTCTTTCAATAGCATGGTGACTGATACGTGCCACATGTTCCTACAGAGAATCATGAACAGCAACTTATACAGTTACGTATAAACACTGGACGGCAATTTCTGCGTAAAACTATCACAATTCCTATAAAAATGGCGATTTTCTGCTGTAGAAAGTTGGCCTTGTTGTACACTATATGTAAGTTATGATGAAGGGTTAGTCTCAGTGTAATCTTTATAGACAGGGAACTGTACACGAAGCTTAAGGCTGCCAGAAAACCGGGCTATATAAATTAGATACTGACCCGTGGGCTTCTGAAACCATACTTTCCATTTGAGCTAATTACAAATACGTTTTCTGTATCGGACAAAAAGGTGGGATGTACTTTGTAGTTTAGGTCGCTAATGACGTTAGATCATGTATCGGTTCTGATAAACATTACCACGAATAACACTCAAACGGCGTCCTAACACTAGCAAGCACACATGTATTATCACAGCACAATATTCTTTTATTGTAGTTCATACAACAGGATCTCCTGTTTGTAGTTGAATTCTCCAGTGTGTTGTCTGCATGCATTTCATTTCCACTCAATTGCATCATGTACTATTTTTGTAAGGTTGCACCCACATTTTGCGGTCGATTATAAAGGTTTGAAGTGGTGTTCAATGCCTTCCCTGTGAGTGATCTACAGCAGTATACGTGGAAACGCAAGGGAGAGCAATCCGAAAACTTCCACGGGTATTTCCATGGACTGCATGGGCGGTCAGTTTTTGCAAACGTGTTAGACACCGATTTATATCTGACGTAATTCATGACAATACCTCTTTAATATTCCATGTCTGGCTGGGACTCCCAGAATGCTGATGATGCAGTAATTTCCTGATTTCCGATGTGGCTGTTTGTGAGTTGAGTGTGGCCGTACCATTGGCAGTGCTGTACTGGTGGAACGCTCCAGATACCGGCTCACTCTCAATGAATGAACACGTGGGGAGTCCGTCACACATATCGCGGTTGTACTCCGCTCTTAATCGACAAGGATAGCTCGGAATGATTACGAGATCATAACCTTACCGTGGAAAAATGGCATGATGATGTGAAATTATTCACCTGTTTTTCAATGTGTATGATTGTGTATTCCGGGGCGACAGGGCTTTTTCCGCGTGAGTCACCTTGTTTGTTTAATTTGTGATAACATTTTAAAAATAGTCGCACACTGTATATGACGTGTGTTGGGACTACCTGGTCGTGAGTTTAGTTATTCCGTATGTCAGAGGCGGGGGACACCCTTTTCTGGTACGGTGGGACACAGCGGCGACATGAGTGGACTTACGAACGCTGGGAGACAGCGGTCAGCATCTAGTGTCGTCAAATGGTCAACAGCGGACATAACATGTGCCATTTTGTTGCTTGTGATTAGTTTTACCTGTACAGGTAAGTGTCTACTCCGCCTTCCTGATCTGGGTCAGATAGCGACGGTACACAAGCTAGTATACATACACCTGTGGGCTAACTTTCACTGTACTACCCATTGATAACGCTAACATGGTTCTACATGTACGAAAGTGACCTAACCCTAGCTAGATTATCGATTTTTGTGTTATTTAGCTGTTTTATCTCCAGAGACACTGCGGGGGTTTGACCGTGTGTCGGTTCCCTAGACATGTGTGTACTCTATGCAGATACATTTATAAGCCTACATGTCTCGGATATGCACAGAATTTATGGATTAAAAAACAGCATTACTGTCATATAACGTAAAATTTGATTTAGCCAGGTAAAAAATTGTATAAAAGCCGCCTCCGATATCCCTCTCTTCCCCTCAATCACCCCCAATCACCCCCATTACCCCCATCCCTTCTGGTCGTTTTAAGTCTTGTCACACTTATGTCATGCTGTTTAATATTGTATATATTTACTACATTAAAACGGCGCATATTTAGGAGTTCTGCCTTGTTATATCATCACAGCACGGGTCTTCACTTTGAAAACTAGACACCTGTTGTATGATATACCACAATATTAACGGGTTAATGTGTACAGTATAATGATGTAATATTAGCAGTGTATGAAGTGCTTTATGACAAATACCGGACTGATCGAGTCATAGACACTCGTGTGTACCTGTCGGAGACAGTTGAGTAGACCTCTGTACCGTATATATACATACCGCCAGCCTCAATGTCAGGGTGTACCTAGGGTCTCTATACACAGGGACCTCCGTACCGTATATATACTGCAAACCCCCATGTCAGGGTGTACCTAGGGTCTCTATATGTAGGGACCTCTGTACCGCATATATACTGCAAGCCCCCATGTCAGGGTGTACCTAGGGTCTCTATATGTAGGGACCTCTGTACCGCATATATACTGCAAGCCCCCATGTCAGGGTGTACCTAGGGTCTCTATATGTAGGGACCTCTGTACCGCATATATACTGCAAGCCCCCATGTCAGGGTGTACCTAGGGTCTCTATATGTAGGGACCTCTGTACCGCATATATACTGCAAGCCCCCATGTCAGGGTGTACCTAGGGTCTCTATATGTAGGGACCTCTGTACCGCATATATACTGCAAGCCCCCATGTCAGGGTGT